ATGATATCATCATATTTATGAGGGTTATATTTGATAGATTATAACTCACCTAGTACCTTTTACCTCTTAAAATACCTTTAAATGCCTAAAACAACACATAAAAATGCAGTATTCCACTTGCCAGTAAGTGACTGCCGCCTCTACATACTGACTGAAAGCTAGTTTCTGCCTCAAAATGACTTTCAGAAGAGTTCTATTTGACAAATTATAAAGCCGAAATGATCCCCTGTTTTTATTTCATATATAATAACATTATATTTTTTAATGACTGACCACCAAACCAAGAATGTCCCTGTTTTCATTTCAGAAATCTGTTATACTTGCTGTCAACGCTAAAGTAACATTTTACCATTCACTTTGTATATATTGTTAATTGTATTTACTGTTTGTTTGTTTTTTCATTTAGATAATCAACTGAGTGTCTTAGGTAACTCTGCAATGTGAGCCTGATTTTCACATAGCTTAATTAGCTAACCTAAGGTCACTCTTTTTTACACTTGGTGCTAGAAAAAGCTGCCAGAAATTGAAGTGAATGATGAGCATCTTGCAAAAGCGAGCAGCTCTTCCAAGCACGGAGTGTAAAAGAGCCATAGTGACTTAACATTAGCTAGCTAAGCTGTGAAAATCAGACTAATTTTGGTGCTACACTGAGTGACTAGCTAACGTTGCTAACGGTTATCTAAGACACAGGTGAATTTAAAAAAACGATCAAAAACACTACAATTTCTCTCTAAGTTAGCTATCTAACTACAAAAATAAACAATAAATACTATTAACAATATGTACAATGCTAACTGAAAAGTGAACGGTAACGTTACTGTAGAGTTGACAGGAAGTAAACAGATGTGCAATTTGTAAAACTGATATACAGTACGTCAAACTACATTGTGCAAGTAGAGTAGAAGTCTTTCTTTATAAATTAAGTGGAAAACTCTGAAAGTATTTAACTTACATTTCAAATAGGAATAAGAATTATCACTTATTAATTATTTATTACATGGAAGCCCACCTCAAAATCAGGTCTCACCTCAAAGCAAACTAGGGCTTTCTTCCATGAGAATACCAGCAGGTATTGATGTCTGCACCTTGACACGTCTCAGTATAAAGTTATCATGGAGGTTGCATCAGCGACTGAGAGATTCCTGCTTTTCTGTTTACCCAGCACCTTGGCTTAACATGCAAAACTAGAACAAAGAAAAATAAGCATAGAGGATTTCATTGAAACTGCAATCCTTGTGTGGCAACTATTCATTGATTAAGAAGAAACCATTAGTCAATGATCACTGACTGCTGAATCAGACCATCTCAGTGTGTCCCTGACCCTCATTTAGCCATCCATGTTTGTCTTTTTCATCTGTCCATTTGTTTTAAGTTCCCTTTTGCCACCTCTCTTTTCCTCTTTTCATTCTTATCAGTGTGAATGACAGATAGTCAAACTCTTAGCTTTGCTTTAATCATCAGGCTCCTCGATTACCTCATGTTTCTTGAATGCACAGTTGTGGTCGAGACCGTCATGTTAATTAAAACAACAGCAGGATAGCTGCTAATGGTCAAAAACAACTTTTGACTAAATGGCATTTGTGAATGGATTGGCTGTTGTTTAAATTATTTTTTTTACCACATGCTCTCTGTTTGTTGTTGTTTTTTGTTGTGTATTCTGAGAGGATTTAAATGGTTGTAACATTTTCTTTGGTGAGACCCTCTTTGGTTATGAAACCAAACACCTTGTTCTGTTCTTAGCCTAATCCAACTGCTGTGCTTAATGCCAGGAAATGCCTGTTTCCTCTTGCCAAGTAAAATCCACAGTAAAGCATTCAAAAAGGAGCACATGTTGTTACTTTAGAGTGCAACCAGGCGTAGAATCAAGCGTCAACCTACCTGAAGTTAGCTTATTCATGTGTTTAGTATGGTTTGGTAATCTAAATATATTGATTGAATATTGACCTTTGGTTCCATTTGGTTTACTGTATCACAGTCAGTCATAGTTTAATTTTACAGGACCTCTGGCTATTGATGATGTTTTAAACAGCTACAGATTCAGAAATGTGTGCATGTAGATTGGTTGCATAATAAACATAGTGAACATTATAACATGCTAGCATTATCATTGTTAGCATGCTTACATTAGCATTTAGCTAAAAAAAAAACCCCGATGTGCCTAAAGCTGGGGTAGGCAATATATTTCCGAAGCATTTTTTGTTATGTGTTGAAATTCTCTTTAGGTCCTGACAGAAATCAATGAATCAAATGCTCTGACACAAAAATTTAAAATTTATCTGTGGCTGTCGCAGGACTGTAATAAGCACTGCCAATCACTTAATTTGGTCTTTGTGGAACGATTGGCCGGCCTACCTGTCTGTCTGTCTACCTGTCTACCTGCACGCACTCTGCCTGTGCACTCATTGCGCACAAACGTGTTTCGTGGGAATAGCTATGGAGGGAACCCTGGAGGGAGGGGGTGAGATGTTTTTGGTTGGATACTTTCAAAATCTAGCTGTCTCTTGCTAGTTTCTCCAATGTTGCCTACCCCAGCTCTAAGTACAGCCTCACAGAGCCAGTATAGCATGGCTGTGGATCTGTTTAATTCCTCTAACGATTAACTGATACTACTATCAGTTAAGGATTGAAGTGTTCTAAGACGCAGTGTGTGTGTGTGTGTGTGTGTGTGCGCGCGCTTCAGGCTTCAACACTGTTTGGACACAGCTACATGTCGCTGGCCCAGGCACAGTTTAGAAAGGAGACAGTTCACTTACGAGTCATTTCCTGTAACTGTGTCACATGGGTTTCGTCACTGCCTCACCCCTTTAGGAGACTAGCTCTCTAATTAGAGTAGTGAGCAGTGAACATGAGCAAATATTATGACTGAAGTAAATATTGGACTCATTTTTCACAAGCCATATATCTTCTAAACACTCAAAAATGTTATATTTTAGACAGACAAATCTGCAGAAAATGAACTTTGTTTGAGACCTGTCTCTGTCTCAGTGACACACTCTCATGACAGCTGGCAACACATCTCTCAGTTGGCAGAGATGGATCAGAGAGTTATCAGTTGTAAGTAAGTTATAAGGTTTGTTAACTACTGATAACATCATGCATGTACAACTCCTACTGCATGTAACATACTTGGCAGGTGATTTATCATATTAGAGTGGGTGATTGCTGTACTCCATGGTTATAATAGCTGTGAGGTCTGAACAGGTCTGGACGTGCTTCATCCTGGAGCCATGCTGGTAATTCTCCCCCCTCAGGGTTTCATTAATTTGAGATTAACTGACCTGTTACTGGCAAGATGTTATACTGAATGTTCCTCTTGCGTAAAAGTACTACAAGCTCACAGCATGTGGCAGAAGTGGGAACTGGATTTGTTTAATACAAATGTGGGGGACAAGTTCACAAATAAAACATCGTATCCAAATAATTACATTCTAAACCAAGGTTAAAAACGTTCTGTGATAGCATTTCCAACAGTGCTGTGTTTGTCTATGACAGGGCAGACACATTTCATGCTTTATTCTCTATTTTTGTAAAGTTAAATTGGCCTGGGATTTAGGATGTGATCTTGGTTCATTTTTGTGCATCTTGAGTGTCAACTGTAAAGACACATAGTTGAATTTAGGGTTTTAAATTGTCCTCTGAGTAAAAAGGTTAATGGAAGTCTTGGTAATTTTTTATAAGGTTTTAACAAATGTCACAAGATTCATCTTTAGTTTTTAAGCGTTGTGAGCCTGTCACTAAGCCCGCTGGTGTTGCGATAGAGCGGTATGAGAGGAATGACGATATTATATAACCATAACCAGATTAATGCAACATCGATGTGTGCGTTTGTGTGTGTGAATGTGTGTCAGAGAGAGGGGAGAGTGTGTGTGTGCAGCCCAGTTTGAGTCATAGAATAAACCACATTCCCCACTGTCCTGATAACACTTTACTCCAAAAGATGATATGAAATGATGTGTTGTGTGTGTGCTGTCATTAATGTGGGTTTGTGTGGTGTGTGCGGTGTCTGCAATTTTCAGTGCATATATGTACATGTAAGATTGAATAGATTCTGATATGACTAACGTATCAGTGTCTGTTGTTTCAGTGTCAGGCTCCTTTGTGACGCAAACCTGTGTACACATTGAGCCAGGAGCTGGATATGTTTCTAATATCACTTCAAATCCTGTTTCTAAACCTTTCTCATTGTGACTCAATAATATGTTCATCAATATGATGAGAAGATTGATTCCTCTCTCATAGTTGTCTTATAAATATAAAGCTTGCACAGGCTCTGTAAAACTGCAAATTGTCACTTTTACACTTAATTTTTGGTATTAGGTTAGTTCTACATTTGGACTGATCTGTTTTCCCCGTGTTATGGCCTGGTTTAAGCAGCCGAACAAAAGTAGAGTATTTTATTAATGAAATTAAACCAAATTAGACTAAATTAAAGTACCAAAGTAAATACACTCAAGATGGGGTGTGGAAATAAGTAAGTCATTGGCGTGTTAGGTGTATGAGTGATGGGTGCGGGTGTTGTAGGGTGCACAACAAAAACACAAGGATAAACTTAGAGCAACATAGCCAAACCAAAGCGTGGCGTGCCTGTGGGTAGGAGCAGAGCGAGTGATTAAACTGCAGTCAGGACTTAAGTATCCTAGGAACACACTGGGTGCCACAGGTGTTCCAGTGTACACTAATCAGCCACCTGCAGAGCAAACTGAGCTACAGGTTAGTAACAGATAAACCCCAAGATGACACCATGGGTCATCACACCCGGCTTCTAGATGATAAGCTAACAATGTCTTGGCAGTACCCTCATAGATCATATAAAAAGTAGCATAAAACCTCATCTTGTTTCTGAAAATTTAATATTTCCAAATATGTCTAAATATATCTATTTTTTGTTGCCAAGTGCTCTCTGGTGTGGTAAGTATAAAAAAAGAAATATGAGCCTGTGTCAATATCTGGTCATTGATGAAGCATTCATCGTTCCTCCCTTTGTGTTTACCCACTTACAGGAGGCATGCTGTGCATACGTGCTGATGGTGACGGCAGTCTACTGGGTGTCTGAGGCTGTTCCCCTGGGTGCTGCTGCTCTGGTACCCGCCTTCCTCTATCCCCTGTTTGGGGTACTCAAGTCCAGTGAGGTCAGTACCTATTTATTGTTAGCTAACTTAACACTCAGCCCTGTTGTTAGACATCAAGTGTGACATCAATACATTTTGCTTATTGTTTATATTATAATTTCTGCCTCCTAAATAAAGGTCATATCTGACTCATTACCTCAATTTACACATGCAATTTAAATATGCTCAAAAACTCACCCAACTTTGCACACATGTCAGAAGTGGTGAAAAATTACGTATTTTATGAGTCCTGCACATGGGCCTGGCAAAATGGCTCGCTAGTGCCACCTACAAAATTGGAAAAAATTAGCCCAAATTAACCCAAATTTAAGAGGAAGTATGCCAATTTGAATTGAATGTGCAATTTTAACCCATTTTTCACCATTTACTTGGTGCGTACTTTAACAAACTCCTCCTAGAGAATTAATCCGATCGACTTCAAGTTTTCGCTGTTCACTCTAAACCCACTGACGATTAAAAGTTGTACAAACGGTGAGTTTTCGTCCACAGGCGTGACTGTGGCGTGGAATTGAAAATTGAGGATTCGCCACAAAACAGGAAGTTGTTATAACTTCAGTGTACATGCTCACATCTGTACCAAATTTGACAATGTATAACAGTCACACCCTGAACACATCCATATGGCGACATTCACTCAAAGTTATAGCGACACCTGCTGGCAACAGGAAATGACATGTTTTATGTTGTGATGTACTACTCCTAGCAGGTTGGTCATATCAACTTCAAAACTGTCCCAGAAAACCCTTAAACATTGGTTAATCCATGTTGAAAAATATGTGAGTTTCCGTTTAACGATGTTGTGTTGACGTGGCGGCGAAGTTAAACGCTTCGCCATGACACAGGAAGTTGTTGTAACTTGACTCTACATGCTCAGATCTGTACGAAATTGTACACGTTTAAGAAGAATCCCGCCCTGAACACATGTACATGCCAATATTCACCCATAGTCATAACGCCACCTGCTGGCAACAGGAAGTGACCTTCAACAAAGCAGCCCCCACGGCACATTTCACCTACATTTACGGAATTTCTGTGCACATATATCATGTCCAGATGTGCCAAAAATCCTCTTGGAAGGATGCCTTAAACCCAACAGGAAGTCAGCCATTTTAATTTTATGGTCATTTTTGGCTAATTTACACATCACATACTTTAGAATTAGTCCCACTGACTTCAGATTTTCGCTGTCTAGTCTAATCCCACTGATGATTAAAAGTTGTACAAATGAGTTTTTGTGGAACGGCGTGCCCGTGGCTTGGCATCCAAAATCGATGATTCGCCAAGAAACAGGAAGTTGTTGTAAGTTCAGTCTACATGCTCACATCTTTACCAAACTTTACATGTTGATAACAGTCACGCCCTGAACACATCTGCATGCCAATATTCAGTTACAATTGTAGAGCCAACAATTGGCGACAGGAAGTAAGTTCTGTCTGACGCTCATCGTATGATTTAAATAAATTTCACAGTGTGTTCCACACTTGTCGTGGTGAGACCTAACATATAGAGTGCTTTGTAGCGCAACATAGGGGACACGGTCGTCTGTGCTGCGTTTGAAGCGACAGAACTGTGCGCGCTACACATGCGAGGGCCTGCCCTACGCTGCCTGCAGCTTTAAATGGTTGTTATGGTCATTTGATGGGCGTAGATTTGTAAGGTTTGGGTGTTAGGGGACAGGAGTTGAGAGGAAAAGAGAGGAGAGTGAATGCAGACCATAGACTGTATAAACAAAGCAGTGCAGCCGCGAGATCACGCAATAAAGTTAAACTCGGAAAGAATATCCGCCAATATGCCGCATTCGCTCACTCATACAAATGCTTACGTCATAATCCGCAACTGTGTGTGCTTTCACATAGCGGAAAGCCGGAAACAATACTTCTGTTACAATGTGCCCCATGTCACTCTAAAGGGGACTCTATATGCGTATATACAGTAAGTCCAGATCAGGAAGAAAATGAGTGAAAGCCCTTTTTGTGTTATGACCTAAACAGAACTGAGAATGTTTCAAGAACTCTGATCCCCTTGTGGGTTTCTGGATGCCTTTATACTTTTTATGCTTGTGTGAGGTTTCTCAGATGCATATGAGTTTCTATGAAGGTTTTACAATCTGGTGTTACTTATCATATCACATCAGTGTAAACCAGAGGTTTCGTCAACTCTCAGCTGTAAAGATTTTATCAGCCATGACTCTATGGAGTGTGTAGAAAAAAACATTATCCTGGCACTCATCATCATTATCCCACTGATGTTTCTCGGTGTTCTTTCATCTCTGAGTACATGCATTCAAATGTGTCTACACCCGGCCACTCAAACACTTTACCAGCCTTCATCACCAACACCAGGTCTGTTGCTCCGCCCCCGGTAAAAGTTGATTGGTTTCACTGATGATGACAACTGACAACGACACTCCTTTTTTTTTTTTTTCTAGTAACAAAAGTTTCCTCTCCATTAAACTCACTCCCCTCTTCTTCACCTTTCTTATCAGTATTACATAAAAAGTGAGCTCTCCGCCTCGTGACCAAATCGCATTGACAGTGACAAAGCTTCCATTTAACACTGCTGTAAGCCTTTTGTGAGAGTGTTCTGTAAATATGCCAGTACAGAGCTTTATACAAAATGAATCTATTATTGTACCATATCCGTCTGTTTCTAGAACTTAGTACTCACCTCTACAGCTGAATTTTTAATCCTTTTCTTGGCTAATTATTTTATCCAGTCTGTAGCTCCTTCAAAATGGTCAAGCAACAATTAGAGCTTAGCAACTGTACTCTTCTAATAGAAAAAATTGAAATATTCCGTCTAAAAAGTCACTTAAAGTAGGAAGGAAGAAATTTCAATGACTGAATATGAACACGAATTTAGCCTCCAGAAACTATCTTCCTAAAGCAAATAAATTGCACTGGTAGAGACACATTATATTCGGTTTAATTCCATTATGCATTTCATGTTCTAGTTGTAATTTTGATTTTAAAAAAATAACAATTTTAGAGTCACTATGAAGGAGGGGGGAGGAGAGTTAAAAGCATCACCCTGCATACTGTGTAGTTTCTTTTTTGTGCTGCTCCTTTCTGTACATGGAAATTAGAGAAATACAGCCAGAAGGGGCCATGTGTAAAAATATCCAGCAGGAGGAAGTGCTGCAGGTTTTAGGTGAGAGGTGAGGCGGGTTTGTACAAGGCTGTGAACCCTGCGGGTGGGAAGTAGAGCAGATTAAAAAGAACAAATGGCAAACTGTAAGGGTTGATCCAAAAGAAGGGGGGTGAAGTAGCGAAGTGGCTGGAGGAGGGAAAAGCAAAATTATTCCTTCTTGTTTCCAGTTATCTCATACAACTTTTATTTTGAAATGTGTCACTGTGTGTGTGTGTGTGTGTGTTCAGGTGGCAGCAGAGTACTGTAAAGACACCACTCTTCTGCTGATGGGAGTCATCTGCCTGGCAGCCTCCATAGAGAAGTGGAACCTTCACAAACGCATTGCTCTGCGCATGGTGATGATTGCAGGGGCCAAGCCTGGCATGTGAGCAGCGCACACACACTTTCAGTGAAAAGGCCATTCTCATGCACACAAATGCACACATTAAATCCTGTTGAAAACCAAAATGTCCATACTCCAAAGCTTACACTGTTTTCTCCCGCAGATAGAAATGTAAAAACACACACTCCCTCTATCTCTCTTCCAGGTTGGTGCTGGGCTTCATGTGCTGCACAGTGTTTCTGTCCATGTGGCTCAGCAACACATCCACTACAGCCATGGTGATGCCCATAGCTGAGGCCGTCCTGCAGCAGCTTATCTGCACCGGCCTGGCTGACAGTCACAATGACTCTGAAACTGTGGAGGCCCCTGAGGATGACAGCGGTACGTCTTGCTCTGTCTCTACAGGGGAAGGGCCACTGAACTATTAAAGCTTCTGTGCAAAAGAAAATCTTTAACATAAGACATACTTTGATAGCATGGCTGGCACCAACACTCACACTAGACTGTGTAGTTAGACTGGGGTGAAGTGCAGCAGTAGTTGAAGTAAAAAACGTGATGTGTTAAGAAAGTAGATTGTGGAGCTTGTTACAATTTTAACAAATGAATGTAACAAATTAACCCTTTGGAAATTCAATGTGTCCCACCAACAGTTCTCCCATTACACGTTTATGAGAAATGTTATTGTCTGCAGCTGTTTCAGACAAAGAAGAGAACCTGGACAAAAACCAGTTAGAGCTGCTCTATCGCAACGACAGGTGCGTGTATGCGTGTTTGTGTGAGCACACATATAAATGATTTTTCTACAGTGTCCCCTCATTTTCTTCATGCCAATTGCAATTACCAGTGTCTCTCAGTATGTGCCGCCATCCTTTTTACTAAGTCTAGCTGTTGGCCTGGAGATGGTGTAGTGGACTTTTCCGATGCACACACTTCCTTTCACCACTGAGGAGTTTTAGTGGGAGAATATGTGGCTGACAGCATACTTCAAACTTAAAACAAATGTAGCACATTTGCATTGGCAAAAGATTTAGTACCAACCAACTACGCTGCATTTAGCTTTGATCACAGCAATTTGCAATTTGCACAGACTGGGAAGAGCTTATGTCAGAAACCCAATATGACAACAATGCTTTCATATGTAATATGTCTTCTGTGGTTGATGAGTATTGTACCTCTACGCCACATGCAAATCTCATAAAAGTAAAGGGATTAATTAAGAAGTGCTATGTACTGTACAAGAGAAAAGTCTTCACTTTCACATATTTGTCATCAGTAAAACAATTTGTCCAATAATCAAATCAAATGGCATTTTGTCTTTGTTATTCCTCTTGTTTTAACCACTTTGTCTTATTTTAAAGTACATTTAAAATTTCAGTTGTTGAGACATGTTTCTTGTCTTTTTAAAAATAAAGTTTGTACACAGCTTTCCAGCAGCAGCTTCTCACGCAAGCCTTCATTTTCTCTTCTCTTTTGATACAAGCAGCGACTGCACTAAACAGGAGCTCTCTACACTAAGTGAGGTGAGACCTGTGAAGGCTTTTTTCCCCCAAGTCCACAGTACCATGAAAGTCAAATATGAGCAGCAGAGCAACAGAACAATCTATATACTGTGAGTTAAATCTGTTTTTCATGTTCTCAGGTACAGACTGGGGAAGTAAATGGCTTGGGTCTAATTCCAGTCTCAGACCAGGATTTCATCAGACACGCTAATGGACACCTGCCACAGGTTAGGAACACATACACTCGCACAGATTATTCGAGGTTAAAGAGGTGGGTGAGAAACAGTAAAGTCAAGAAGAATGAGAAACGCTCCCCTCAGTTACAGTCAATAAACGTCAGTAAGATTTTCCAGTCGATTAAAATATTTTCCTCACTCTCTCTTAGGTTGCGATTGAAATCCCAAACGTGAAGCGGGTGAAGGCCAGGAGAGACTCCCAGTATCCCACCAAGAGGGATCACATGATCTGTAAATGCCTGTCGCTCAGCATCACCTACGCTGCGACCATCGGCGGTCTCATCACCATCACCGGCACGTCAACCAACCTCATCTTTGCTGAGCAGTTTAACAAGTAGGTACACATGCACGCACTCACTCACACGTTAGCGTAATGAGTTAAGAATTGTCTGGGTTGACAGGCATCTACCATCCGCTGACCGTAAAAATAAATATTAAAGCAGCTTTAATAATGGGTTTGAACTGGTGTCAGTGACTTATATTTTGGTCTGGTATTACAGCAGCTCAGGAGGCCTGTAGACACCATTTAAACTTTCTTGGCTGCTGTTCTGGCTGGACTGAAACAGCACATGTTACCTCAGTGTCTGGGGGGGGGGGGGTCAAACTGAGATCAAACTAATCAGCCTTTACAGTCCTGACACAGCCGATTTCCTCCAGCTGCAGCACCACTAAGCCCGACAGAATGGCCTCCTTCATGTTGCAGCTTGTTGGGCAAAGGTCAGGTTTTGAGTGTGTGTGTGTGTGTGTGTGTGTGGTGGGTTGGGTTGGGTGGCTGCTGTAGTAGTTGTAATCCGAAAGTGGTGCTACCAAGAACAGAAGAATAGCAATCAATCCAAGCAGTGAATAAGAAAATCCCCCAAATTATACCTTTGAGTTTGAATTTTGAGTCAACTTTTAGTCACTTGGTAAATAAGGTGTGTGTGTGTGTGTGTGTGTGTGAGAGAGTGAGTTCAGGTCAGTCAGTCCAAGTCCTTGTCTGCAACAAGTCCATGCTAGTACGGTAAGGCCAAGTGCTCTACTTGACCCCAGCTGCAGACAATTATTGCCCAACTCTGCAGTTTCCCTCAGATCTGTTCAGTATTTTAGTATCTTTCAGGTCATTGTTTGCGTTTGGTGTTTTGGATCAGTCTCCCTGCTCTCATTACCATCGTTTACAGCAGCAACAGGCAGCTGTTTTCAGTGGAAAGGTTTTGATAAACAGACCCACTGTATAATACCTGACAGCACTAAATTAAAGACACAAAAGGTTAGTGGTTAGCTTGCCAACTCGTTCTCACTCCCATATTACGCTTGGTCAAGACCCCTTGGCGTCACTTTTTAACACTGGGTACCCCTTTAGTGTAATTTCTTGACGCGCAAGACTCCGCAACAATAAATATGCTACTTCCGTCAAGTTAGCTATAATAAATATGCAACATCTGGTTAGGTTTAGGCATCACAACTACTTGGTTAGGTTTAGGAAAAGATCACGGTTACTTAGGTAAATTAAGTTACATAACTCAGATAGTTACATAAATTAAATAATGTAAATTACGTAGATTACGTCCATACTTGGCTTAACTTAAGTTCAAAAGAAGTCGACGTTGACTATTTTTCACACCAGTCTCCTGTGTGAAAGTCCGGTGTTTTCCCAGTTTTTACTACTAGAGCAGGAATGAATGAAAGGCGGGACCAAAGTAACAAGTTAAACTATGTCAGCATGTACACAATATTTACCAGAACCGCCAAAAAAGTAAGAGTAATACAGAAGAAGATGAAAGTAAATTTTTTTAAGCTGTATTTTTCTTTGAATGACAAGTTGCGTTTATTGCTTCATGTGTCATTGTCATAATCATAAAACAGATTAATTAGTACTTTTAACACATCCTGAAGTTTGCCGTGTGAAGGTTTTTCTGTGTAGAAGCAAGTCATGTTTAAAAGTCAGGAGTTTTCTTTCGTCCCTCTACTGTAAGAGCCAATGCGGTCACTTTTTGGGGAAGTGGCTGATTCGTCTTTTCAAATAAATTATATTTAACGGTATCACAGTGTGTATCACTAAATCGCTCCATATGATTCAAAGCAGGAATTTAAGAATAATTTACATTTAAGGCCGGGGCAGCTGTGGCTCAGGAGTTAGAGCGGGTTGTCCGTTAATCGGAAGATCGGTGGTTCAAATGTTAGACATTTTAAATTAAAACAAGAATAACAATCATACACAAGATAAATGTATACCATTGAGTTTCCTCTGTCCCGACTGGTGGGGACAGAAGAAACAATGCTCAACTTCCATTCTAAGTCAAATTATACCAAAGTCGTTCCACATTTGTACAAAGTTGGTAATCACATCAAAAAAAAATTTCTGTCTGTAACATTATCTTTTTAAAGTGACATTTATCTGAAAAGTGTATCAATTGTCCTGGCTCTCTCCTATGTTTATTTACATTTTATGGCTTCTTGATAAATGTTTACAGTACATATTCACAGTTCGTTATTGTTCTTTCCTCATCTTTTCCATATAAATCAACTGAAACAAAGTAATTGAATGTGCTGAATTACTGAAGGGATGGTAGAGCTGGTTCTGTATCACAGACCTGATCATCATCTCTGAATGTCACCTTATTTATTGTCCATACACCAGAGAGCTCAGTGAAGCACGTCTGAGCAAACATCGGGGCCTATTCAAACAATCTAGGCTATAACGCATTTGTCTAAAGTGTGTTTAGGGCGTAACATGGATTAAACCAATCAGAGTATCATCTCCCATTACCTTTAAAAGCCAGGTTTGCCTGCACCTGGCGCATTGCTATTTAAATGGTGGGTGAATGGCGCGTTATGTAAACCATCAATTGTGATGCAGGCTCGCTGCAGAGAGAGAGAGAGAGGGGGAGAGAGAGGGAGGTGTGGACCTACTTGTTTTTGCCAATTAATGCATTTTGAGTTTTAAGTTTTCAAAAATATTTAAGAGTTGTTTTGTACACTTTGAATTATAGTGTAGCCTAGGTGACCTATACCCCTACTGTGCATTAACCCCGTAGCAATAACATTGGGCTATGTGAGTGATAAAATAAGTCGGGGATGAATACCTCATGACTTTTGTATCATGTTATAATGTGCTAGTTTCTCTTAGCTAGCATTCAGACAAAAAATGAAAACCTTCACTGATCGTCTGAAGACATTGCACTTCATGACCAACGTAAGTACAGATGGAAAGCAAATTAATACACTAAAACTCCTCTAGCATTACATGAATTAGTAACTCATTTGCATAACCAAATACATTTTTTATACAGAAATAAATACAATTAAATACATTGTTGGCACTTGTTGAGAAATAAAAGCTATATACAGTTAATCATGCCAATTTTTAAGTGCACTGAAGATGAATGACCACTGGTAGCCTATTGGGCAGACCAGTCGGTTTGTACAGACCCCTACAGTGGTGTTCTTTTCTTTAAACAACAGAAAATAACAAGCTGTGCAAACATTTCTTAGGTGCCTCACACTAACAGTGACTTTGCTGGGTTGTGTCGACAAGTCAGCGACCTTTGTGGCACCTGCTGTCCATAAAGTGGAGCTTTCAAGGCAGAGCAGGCAAACCACAGGTAGTGGTAGTAGCATTTAATCGCTGACAGATGCTCACATGACACACTATAATGTAGTGTGTGTGTGTGTGTGTTTTTTATATTAGATATATTTATTACCAACCTCTCTCATAATATATTCCCCACTACAGAAGCTATCACAGTGACTTCTACTTCTGCTTTCCCACAAAGAGATAGTTCACGGTGATGTTCTAATCACAGATTAGGGATGTTTTTGAATTTGAAGTTACTCCATATATATAAATTGGATACTCGGTGTGCAAAGAAAATAGTAGGGACATTGTATCTGGTACCAATTTTTAATAAGAACCCCTTTTAAAGGTTTATCAGTTGTTAAAAACATTTACATACCACTTATAAGCCATCAATACAACTTTTGGGTTGTCATGTTATGAAACATCTCTATGGCTGGTCATTGACAATCAAGCCAGCAAGTCATTAAAGCAGACTCCTGGATTAACTAAAGAGTTAAAAGACAAATCAAGTGTCATCATGGAGTCCCATAGTTTATAACTGGTCTATACAGCATTAGTGAAGAATGTATTAATAAAGCCACTAGTGGTTCATAAATCAAAGGGTGCCAAAGGGAGTAGCTCAAAGATTCCTAAACAGTTTTGTGCACTGTATTGTATGACAGTATTCTGCAGTATGAATGCAGAAAAGCATTACAAAGCACTCCAGTGACAATTTAGAACAAACCCTGTTTATAATTTTGTTATTCCAAACAATAACTGAAACTGCATTTTACACCAGTGATTGGAGGAAGGTTCCTCAAGAGAATTTAAGTGAATCACTCTGGCTCCTGTCCTGCAATTTAGCCATACCGCGGTTATTCCTGCTGGCTTTACTGTCACAGCAGAGGTCAGTGGTACTTGCACTGAGTCACCTCTTATCAGTCTGGAGATTCAGCTGTGCTGCTGCACAGATCAGCAGAACAGCTTTCAGTCAAAGCAAACACACAAGACCGAGGGTCAAGTGAAGTAGCTGATGGGGGGGTGGGACTTTCTAGGTAACAATTTTTTTCTATTTCTATGGTCTAATTTTTATCAGTAGTCACAAGGTTGAGCCTTTAAAGAGACCATGTGTAGTATTTACACATCAATACATCTCCAACACATTATCAAAAACATTAACATATCAAATCAATGATGGGCCTTGTTGGAGGTGAGTGCTAAAATGAGGGCTTTAGTGTCTCCAGATTAAGACCACATATTCCATCAACCCTCTTCCTGTGTGTGTTAAAAAGATGTCAACCTGCACACACATACGTGCAGACATCCTAAAGGAACTCTCTGTCTCTCGCTTTCTATTTTCCAGTCGTTATCCAGATGCGAAGGTGATAAACTTCGGCACGTGGTTCATCTTCAGCTTCCCCATCGCCATCATCATGCTGGTCCTCACCTGGCTCTGGCTGCACTTCCTCTTCCTTGGCTGCAAGTGAGTGTGTGTGTGTGTGTGTGTAGCCTACTTGTCCACTTCTTAGAGTAATGCATCTTATCATTACAGACTCATGATAATCCCTGGGTCTGTACGCCATTGAATCCTGTGGCTCCAGGATGGAAAAAAACAGAGCGAGTGTGTCAGGTCACCGTGTGGTTGATGTCGTTGTTGTGTGTGTGTGTTCAGCTTCAGGGAAACGTGCTCGTTGAGTAAGAAGCGCAAAACCAGGAGAGAGATACTGTCAGAGAAGAGGATCCATGAGGAGTACGCAAAACTGGGACCCATCAGGTGTGTACGTGCATTTCAGCACGTGTGTGGTTTCTTTGTCCTAGCTTTCCTGACTGGATGGCCCTGTATTTTTTTTTTTTAGGTTGTATTAATAGGAATCTGCAAAACAGAAATTCATGGAAATGTTTTGGATTTTCACATCGGGGCCGTGGTATTTATCTTTTGCATGCAAAAACTGCAATAATATATATAGATATAAAGAAAACTTGCATCACAGGTGTACTCACACACCCAGACATGACATTGTGGCGCAATCACATTATCACTCATGTAATTGTTGCTCACATGCTTTTGTGGTTTCTATGTCTGTGTGTGTCCCAGCTACCCAGAGGTGGTGACCGGTGTTTTCTTCATCCTGATGACTCTGCTGTGGTTCACCAGAGAGCCTGGTTTTGTGCCCGGCTGGACATCTCTTTTTGAGAAGTAAGTGCCCATAACGTTGCGACACACCACCGCACAGTTGGTGTTGTTATCATTAACAAGTGTTAGTGATCAGAAAGGTGCATGTGGCTGTAGGTCGGTAGAGCAGTTTATCAGTACATAAACAAAACGCCGTCACACAGAGACGCATATAGACACCGTACGCATGCACAAAGAATCAGTCCCATAAAAACAGTTAATGTCAAATTATGATAACTACATAAGTCCAAAGACTTTGAAATGTTTGCCTCTTTTTATTCTCCTTCTGCATTTTTTTATATATGTTGTATCTGTGGGTGTTTTCTCTCTCAGGAAAGGCTACAGGACTGATGCAACAGTATCTGTCCTTCTGGGATTCCTGCTCTTCCTCATCCCAGCCAGGCGACCCTTCTCTTCCTCTAGCTATAGAAACACAGGTCAGGCCCATGCACTTGCCCTGGCATAGCTGTACTATGTTTGGTTTATCTCCTCAGGGCACCAGATGAGTGGGGTTTAACATATTGAACAATGTAAAGTGGATCAGTGATCAGCACTGCAAATAAACATCAATTACCATTCAAATATTTATGATGATGGGCTACTCCTTTCAACTGAAACTCAGTGAAGCTTTAATCAAACAACAGAAACACAATAGTATTTATAATTTCTATGACTTCCTAAGTTTGGGTTAATTAAAAGAAAAGGAAAAATTAATAATAATAAAACATTTTATTTGTATAGCACTTCAGCACACTCGAAGACACATTTACACAAGTACATTTAAAACAGATAAAAAATATAAATTTAAAATATATGAACAGCAGATAAAAACGTGTGGTGCGGAAATACATAAATAACTAACAAACAGCAGCAGGTGTATATAACATTATTTGATGTTAAAAATAAGTGATTTGAAAGAGTCCATGTCGCTGCAATCTTGGATGTGCATGGGTAAGAAGTTCCTTAGGGAGGGGGCTGCGATAATACTGGAATATATATTTTTTGGATTTCGACAAATTGAGTAGTCTTACCATAGGTGAAGACATTTAGAAATCTCAATAAATAAATCAGCCATAACCAATATAATAATCTCATAATCCCAAACTCTGTGGAAGTTAGATAATCATACACACTGTTCTTGTCCGGCTGCTGCCTGTGTTACCAGTGGTGATGTGTTGCCCATATGCTGCAGGTTCACCGGGTCAGAGAATCAGAAACAGGTCAATTTCAGACATTGGTGTTTTCCACGGTAGAGCTGTATTTTGAAAAACACTGGAAAGTCATTTATCGTATGCTGCTCAACACTTGGTGTTTTAGTGCTGACCTTTGCCAGTCCACTAACCTCTAAATGGCATAACCTAAGAGAAGCAAATGTAGTTCAGGAATGCCACCTGCAAGCCGAGAAGTACCAGAGAAGTAAACACATGGACGACAAAATTATGTTCAACAATTTGACTTTTTTTGTAAAATGTTATCAACAGGACATTTATTGCTTCAGAAAATAAATGTATTTATTGGTCCTTACTTCTTTAAGTCCTTTATTCTAATAATGTTGTTATTGTTTTTCATTGCTAGTATTACCTACTGTCTTAAGACAATGCACAGTAGGTCAGCTGAATTAATTTTAACTTCGGTTTAAATGGAGCTCTTCTTTCGAGGAAATTCCTAATTTATCTACCGTTATCACCAAATTACATACTGGTCGTTTGTTTTCTGGGAACTTCCTAGGAAATTATTTGGATGTAACATAATATACATTACTAAAAATATCTCTCATGCAGTACACAGTATACATATACAGTATATGCACAGTGCCACAAAATAATAAAAACTCATTACTAACAATTCCCAATATTTTTGTAAAAGAATAAAAATATTAAGGACAAAATGGTTCAAAGATGTGTAGCTGTACTGACATATTTTCTGTGGTTTTAAACCTTCAGATGACGATGACCCACTTGCTCCCATGATCACCTGGAAGGACTTCCAGAGACTGATGCCATGGGAAATTGTCATCCTGGTGGGAGGAGGCTATGCACTGGCTGCTGGTTGCAAGGTACTATGCATGTGTTTTTGTGCAAGGTTAGGAGCAATTTTTTTCCATTTTAGATTAGCGTTGGGTTACCTCATGAAAGTCGGGGGAGCTTCTAGATGAGAAGTTCAGATGATCAGTATTTTAAATGTCCAAATTGGATGATTTCGAAGCATCTAATGTCATTTAATCTGGTATTGACAAGAGGCTGTAGGCATAGTTTCAGTGGTAAGTGGCTACCAGGAGCTCTAATCTGTTCCTATCTATCTACAAACCTTTGATTAAATTAAGGGCTTGAGATCAAAGCAGCAGAGATTCAGGTAGACATGATTGCGCCATGAGGGTGAGAGACTCACTGTGCCGTTTGAGGATGGTCACATGTGTTTTGTGTGTGCGCGCAGGTGTCTGGCCTGTCAGTGTGGATCGGGAGACAGCTGGAGCCCATGAGTGGTCTTCCTCCCTGGGCCGTCACCCTACTGGCCTGCCTGCTGGTGTCAGCGGTCACAGAGTTTGCCTCTAACCCGGCAACCCTCACCGTCTTCCTACCCATCCTGTCAGCGCTGGTACGACACACACTTCCTCTCTTATTATTAGTCATGACAAATAACAGATGAAAGAGGAGCGAAGAGTAAGAAAGATGAGACCGTGTATGGAATTATGAGCACAGCCAAATCACTGTCTGCAATGTATTGCAATGCAAACAAGCTGGAGGATGAGATGGCAGTGCTCTTATAGCACACTCATGTGTTGTGTAACATTGATAAAGCAGGTATCATTCGTAAAGAATACGTACAACAATGCAAAGGGCAAGGCAGACTGTGCTCCTTCCTCAGAAAAATATCTAAATATCTAAAATTTGCATGGAAAAATAGGTCAGTCCTTCTAAACTAGCAAACAGGCTTCCTCTAGTTTTTGTGACTTAAAGGAATAGTTTGACATTTTCCAAAATAAGCTTTTCGATGAGTGTTAGCTGAGAAGATCAATACAACTCTGGTCATGCAATATGAAGCTACAACCAGCAGTTGTTAGCTTAGCTTAGCTTAGCATAAAGACTGAAAATGGGAAAAACAGCTAGGTGATCCAGCAGCAGGTGGTCCAAAAGTACCTAAATCTGACTACCAGCACCTCTAAATCTCACTAACACATTGTATCTTGTTTTAATTCCTACAAAAACTCAAGACTCCAACAAATAGTCTGGCACATAACCTCCCTGTGAAACCACCACATGAAGGGACTACAAAATTCGTTTCATTATGCAGCCTTGTGCTGTATAATGACAAATAAACTACCTTGTATGTTTTTTTTGTGAAGAAAGAACTGACAGGGTTTAAATGACTTTAAGCGTCGGCCGATTCCATGTGCACACTACACAACTTGCCGTCTTGTGACGGGAGTTTTAAAGTCATTGTGGCGTTCACACTACGTGACTGATAGTAGACACGGGGTCACACACTACAAGAGCTGACAACGGCTGTGTGACCCGACGGCTGGTCTCCAAACCACCTTTTGTCAAGAAAACACACGTGAAATGTGAAACAGGAAATGACGCAAACCTACACACAAACAGCTGTTGTTTGTTATTTTAAAGAGAGCAATTATAAAGACAAAAACTCTGGGTGAAAGAATGGATTAGCACACGCAGGTAGCACACATCGTCTGTGCTACAGAGAGAGCTGGAGGTGAGTAAAAATTGTTTTGCAGTGAAGATGTAGCTGCCTGCTCTCATTGGCTGGATGTTGATGTTGAGTCCCCCAGATATTTGGCATGCTAGAAATTTGGCTGGCGTCAGCGATGTGTCAGGGAGCCGTTTTGATGCGTCGTTGAGTAGTACACACATAACGACTGGCGGCCGCTGTTCTATTGCTGATTTACCCCTGATCACAGCCTGATGGTCACAGAGCTCACTGACTGGCAAATTGGGCTAAAAAACGTGTAGTGTGAACTAGGCTATAGAGGTGCCGGTAGGTGGATTTCTCTACCTTCAGATAGAGCCACGCTAGCTGTTTTTCCCCTGTTCCCAGTCTTTATGCTAAGCTAAGCTTCATTTTGGCAGACAGATATGCAAGTGGTATAAACCTTCTCATCTACTTCAAGAGAAAGTAGCAAAAACATTTTTCCTAAAATGCCAAACCAGACAGACCTTTAATCTTATCAAAGGACTGTTTCTGCTGCTGTGGTGAAGCAAATCTGTCACTGCACACATTTCCCCATAAGTGCCCATTTTGGCATAACAGCATCACCTTGACTTTGCTTCCCCCATGTGGATTGTCGGATTTTATCTCTCAGATTGCTCACTTGAGATTAATGTCACATGCATGTGTTGGGAGCAGGGAGTAATGCACCTTTCTGTGAGAATGTAAATAGGCCTATGCACAGTTTTTAACAATCATGTGACCTTTGACCTCTCCCTGTTCCTGATGCACTCCATTTATCCCCCTCTTCATCTTCTTCCTTCTCTTCATACTTTCTTTCTTTCTTCCCTAATTTTTCCTTTATCCTTTCTCACTCTCCCCTCCCTCACACCCTCCACCTCTTCCTGCATATTCTTTTTCTTCCCTTTCTCTCATATTTTTCTCTTTTCCCCCCATGATTTACTATTTCTCTCAGTGTCTCTTCTTTCCTTTCCATCTCTTTTTACCTCTTCCTCCTTTATTCTCTCTTTCTCATTACCCCCTTTGTTTTTCTTCTCCCACGTCCCTCCTTCCAGTCTGAGACTCTGCGCATCAACCCCCTCCACACTTTGATCCCGTCCACCATGTGCGTGTCGTTCGGGGTCATGCTTCCAGTGGGGAACCCCCCCAACGCCATCGTCTTCAGTTACGGCCACGTGCAGATCAGCGACATGGTACGGGACTACACATACACACACACACACACACACACACTCACATGTTCTTTCTGCACCTGCAGTATCAAAAGGCTCAAGGGTACAATGTGTCAAAATTTTATGTAATCAGAGGGATAAAGATTTTTCTTTCTTAACTCTTGGCAAACCAATTTGGATATTTATTTTCAAATAGAATGATTTTTTTTTATGTATTACCATTTTATTTTTAATTTCCTTTCCTTCTCCAGGTGAAAGCAGGCTTCGGGGTGAACCTGATCGGCGTGGCGGTGGTTATGTTGGCCATCACCACATGGGGGGTTCCCCTCTTCAACCTGACTGAGTTCCCAGCCTGGGCAGTGGCAAGGAACGTTACCGGGAGTTTATAACCACCGCTGGGTTAGCGCCTGTGGGAAGAAGAGGGGATGAATCACTGAAAGACAGAAAGAGAGAAAGAAATGGGACAGTGTTTCTGAAGAGAAAGACGACACGAAAGTGACATACGATGTGTCAGGAGGAGGTGTTAAGCCCTTCCTTAGACTGATCAAACTGGACCTGAAGGAGAGAGAAGGCTCGAGAGGAGGATCGAGAGAAGTGAAAAACATTATCCGTTGCTTAGATATAATAATTAGAGTTATATTTTTGTTGGCAATAAGAGGGCGTTAAGAGGAATGCAGAATGCCTTTGCCAAAGTGGCCACTGTATTGAGCGCTGACCTCCAGCAAAAACATTTTCTTACCTCTGTTAACAAAGTTTGATGGAGATTCTGTTCTCACCGAATCACTGAAGATATTACTAAAAGCTACAAACATTTTTTTGGTGATCAAGAACTGATATTCTGTTTGATTTAGAATAAACAATGATAAGTTAGGTTTTTAGCAGCTGCCTTAAAGTGTTTTCAGAGCCACATCATGCCAAGTTCTGTGGATTAGTTGATGTTTAGGTAGAAATAAGCTATATGGCCATTGTAGATCAGCCTCTTTTTACTGCCTGCTTGCTGAACTTCTGCTGCACTTTAATGTATTGCTCTCTAACCTGATCACATCCATTGCGACATGGTGGGCTGGTGACAAGTTTGCTGACAGAATTTAGTTTTGATGTACAGTGTAAAAGAAAGCAGCTGACTGCTGTATTAAAGCAACAGAAAAGCATGAAAAGAGGCTTCTACTGTGGCCGATAATGTACTGTATACATAGAGACTTACTGTCAAGCCTTTCAGATGTACCTTTTCACGAGTGTCTATATGACCTCGTTCTAAAGATAGAATAGCTTGTATATATTTAGCAACAAATTGAAAGCTTATACACTGTCCATAGGCTTCTTAATATCTACCTGACTTTACCAAAGTTTCTGAAGCAGATTTTGTGCCCCATCATACTGTGAACATTTTGGAGTTTGTTGGCCACATTTACTCAAAGCTCTTTGTAGTACCGCAAGTGCCTTTACCATATTATTGCCTATCACACTACACTTTTAACATGACTGTCTGTGGTGGGAATCCAAGCTCTAACCCTTACACTGTTAATGCCTTGCTGTTAAAGATGGGCTACGCGATTCTGGAGAATCCCATACCATGAAAGATACCATGATATATAGTGAACAACAACACAGTTGTAACGTCAGCTAAGCTGTGGGTTTGTGAACTGTTGCTGCTACAAAGCTAACATGCAGAGAGGATGATACAGTCCCAGAGCCAGCACACCAGCTCCAAACAGCAATGCTCACAACACCCCTGCTACTATGGCTAACATCACAACAAACCGCTTATATTGGCAAATTATAAAGTAAGCTAAATGTCTGTGGGCAACTCATTTAACGTTACCTGACACACACATCATGGCTGGAATGGTGATGTGCAGCTCGCTCTGACCCACTTTGTTTGTTTCCCGTTTACAGAGCCAGGGCTGTGTACAAACACCAGATTTTTTTCAGCACACACACAGAACGGACAGACATAAAGATGTGTTGTGGATCAGAATCACATACCCCACCTTTAATCTCAGAGCAGTTCAGGAACTCAGTCCACCACCACCCTACTTAAATTACGCAGTAGTGTAATTGCTTTTTACTGTGCTATTTCTCAGCCATATTCTTGTACTTGATACCATTACAATTTTGAGAATGTAAGCTGTACCGTATTTAAGGTATAGAAAGTCCCGGGATGGTTGACTAATCCTACCATCATGTATTTTATACTAACTTGATTTCTTGTAGCTTGTCCTCATTTTGCAGTTATGAACATATGTACACTTGAGGTTAGACACGCTCAGAAATAGTTTCTGAAGTCATCAAATCTGAGATGTGTGCTGGGGTCCTTACTTATGCCAGTAATAATGATCTTTAAACATGAAGATAAAATTCTGTTAGTCAGCAGGTAAAACACACTTAAACATCTATCAAGTATCACCAGCTACAGTAATCACAAATATATATTTTATGAAATTTGTTACATTAGTGTGTTAATCAACAGAATGACCATGTTTGGTATTTATTAGTAGTCACCTTGTAGGTGTTACTTTTCTCCTGGCTGGGTAGCACACAAAGAAATTCATGTTTGGGAAGGTGAGTACCTCCAAGTTATTGTTGAACGCAGCATTCAAAGCTTTAAGGAAGAGAGAAACGGTGAGGTAGCACAGTCTCATGGTACAGTAGTTTGTTCAATCAACTGTCAAATCATAACTTGTCTGGTTGTGAAAAGGTTTGCACATAACATTCACAGTACTGTGTAAAAATATAAAAGATATGCTTTATATTTTTACACAAATTTTAAATGTAATTTGTGGCTTTTTTATATTATTGCATTATAAGTTGAGGTGTTCGCGTAGGCAGAATCAAAAGCCTAAACAAAGCCTTTTCTTTTGTAATGTATTCGGTTCTACTGAAGATTTCATACATCTTGATGGTTTTACAGAAGTGACCTTTGACCCAGGGGCCACACTCCTTTGTAAATACATACAGATTTGTAATATAAAGATAATGTGCCTTTTGCCTGTTTCTAAATGAGCTGTAATATTCCTACTCAGACAAAAACTAGAGTTAGGATGATACATCATATATGCACAACAATAAAAACAACTAAAAGCAGTGATTGTATTTATTTATTTTTTTACACACACACACACCCACCACCTTTGCCTAATAAGGAACTGTCCTGGAATTCAAATGTAAGTACCAGCAATCAGTAAAGCACAGCATTAATTTGTAAATCACACACAAACTGATCAAGACTCATGACTGGTGTGAATACACAAATGTAATTCAACCCAAACTACATGTAGAGGTAGTACGCCACTCTGTGTTCACAATGCAGTGCCTGTTAAATGGAGAGGGGGTTATACTTTAATTAAACACAATGACAGAAAATTCCTCTTGGACAGTGTTAGTTTGAGTGTTAACACAGACCCAGTGTGTGTGCGCGCATGTACAGGGCTACCGTGATCAGTATTACCAACCTTATATATTTCACAAGTAACAATAGTAAAGTTTGTCCACTGTGACAAAATTACATGTATTATACAGGTGAAATTCCACTGACTGAGAAAACTGGATTCACAAACATCAGAATGTGGATCAGACATCTCAGACCAGCTGGGATGGTTGACATGAGTTGATGCCATGAATTTCTGAGAAGGGAAGCTGAAAACAATTTTCAAACCGGTCACTCATTCTATCACTTGGAGCTGCTAATACGCATGGTGTCTTGATGCTGCTTTTTTCTGTACAAATAAATAACGATAAAGGTGAAGTTCAGGTACTCAGTCCAAAGTCCTGCTTCTCTGGCCCTGGCCTGAATAAGGCTAAAGTCAATCAGTTTGCAGATTTTGACGCTGTGCAGTGTTTAGGAAGGCTGCCGGGGTCCTTCGGCAGGCGTGAATCCTTCTGTCTGCATCTTCTCTTTATATTTCAGGAAGTCTCTCCTCTTGGTGAAATATTTCACCTGCCAGGGAAAATGGACAAGATGAGCAACAGATTTCAACCGAGGGAAGTGTGCTTGCTTGAATCGTGAGTTGATGCCAATTCTAAAATGTCTAATTCTGACATCAGGGCCCGCGACCCCAGACCTCACTGATCACAAAGACAAAACGATGGGATAGTTTACCCACTGAGCAGGGCAATTTGCCTCAAACTTGTTCTGGAAGTTCTGGCAGGACGCAGCGTTGTCATCGTTGTCATCCAGACATTTCCACAGCTGGTCCCTGGCTTCCCAGCAGGCCTTCCTTTCTGCAGAGTTTGGAGCGGACATTGCTGCTTGACCCTGGGAGAGATCTAGAAAAAGTGAAGGCTGTGTAAATTAACAGGGATTAATGTAGGCTCTGCTATGTGAAGGTGTTGAAAACCAAATGCTCCACACTGAAAAACTCCTTACCCAACATTAACGTTTTCAAAAATTTGTCTTTATAGTCATCATTAATTTTATGTGTTATGTGGTGTCTGTGTTTACAGTTTATCCCCATATAATGCCCCTCTGGTTTACACTACTTGCTATATGTTTATGTTAAATTTAACCTTCATGACAATACTGTGTTACATGTTCAATTTGATATTGATATCAGTCAGTATCACTCAGCAAATGCAAAGAAAGTAACTAAGCTGACATAAACGTGAACTTCAGATGAGTTGGCTTGTTGCTCAGCTGTCACTCACCAAATGAAACGCTAAAACCTCCCGTTTGCTTCTGTCACTCCATAAAACCGTATAAAATCAGAGTGATGCTGTTACTAAACTCCAAACCAGACCCCGAACAGCTCGAAACGCGAGACTTCTGTAACGGTTTAGCTACTGTAGCACAGAGTAAAGTGAAGGACGCGCACTTCCTTGTCGCATTGTGATGACGTGTAGGCGTGATTGACAAAATGTACCAGGTGATGGCGCAGTTCGTTAAAAAACATACTAAATCAAACTCAAGTGACATGTTTGAAAGTATTAACATTCCGCCTACTTGTAACTTTAAACAGCTAAAAAACACTAAAGTGGACACCGCGTGGCGTCTACTGTAAATTGTGTTTCCTCAGGCTGCCGTCATAAAGCAGGTGAGAGGGAGTGATTTATATATTTGCTAACTGTTCTTTAGCTCAACAGTATGGTGTGTCCCATTAGCAGCATTTCAACAGTGCAACTCTTAGTTATTAAAATGTCTCAGCTCACTTCAGAAGTCCAAAACTTTAAAATAAAGGTTTACTATCACAGCTTAATAAACAGAAGTAGTTTTAAGTTGTAAGCTTAGTTTTTTTTTTTTATTTAAAGTGAGTAAAATAGTCTGTAGTATAGGAGGATGGGGTTAACACTTGCATTTGCAGTAGTGTTAACCAGAGACTAAAAGTTAGATTTGTGAATGGATTCTTGTTTCATTCATGACGGGGAAACGGTTTTGAATGTTTGTTTCTTCCCTGGAAGCTTCTCTTCCTCCACACCACATCAAAGGCTTGTCACAGAGCTACATGAATGTACAATAAAGTCTGCGTGTGTGTGAGTGTGTATAGCTTGCCAGCGAGTATGAGTATAGGCAGAATGAAAATGTGTGTTGTTGATTAACTCTCGCTCATTTTGCTCCTCCCTCAGCCATAATGAAGGAGAACATCCCCACTGGTTGTCATGGAGCCCAACAGCAATCCATCTCAGTTTATGTGCTTGTGTGGGCTCTGATGCAGGGGTGAGTGCTCTCTCTCTCTCTCTTCTCAGGAAAGTAAGTGTTTGTTGCCCTGTATGTGGGACTTGAGTGTGTCTCTAGCTACTTCAGAGACAGACCTTCATTCACTATTCATATCACACACTATACTGACCTCACTTCAACTTTGTTTCCTCCACTGATGAATGTTTTCATTTTAATGTGCTCCCTTGTGGAGATTTAAGACCAAAGTTCCTGTCCAAGAACATTAAAGATCAAAGACCAGATAGAAAAGTAAAAGCTGCGTTTTCCAAAAAAGTTGTATCTGTTTTGAAGCGGCAGAAATTATCAGTAGTGGTTGCATTTCACCACCATAATGGGAAGAGTTAGTTACCTAAAAGAACACCCACAGCCTGGTTATGTTGTCTTCTTAGCTAGCAGGATGCACATTATACCAGTGACACAAATATCAAACAAAAAGAGGAGCCTGTTTCACGTCACATGTGTCATATGCATTTACCATGATGTGTGGTTGAAACATCTTTTGGTAATTGTGCATTGTATGAGAGGAGGAGTTTCCTATAGATATAAGTTTTAAAGGTTTGTTGTAAATCTCTGAGTAATGAAGAATGTCATCTGTGACGCACAAATTTGTCCTTCCCATTCTAGTCTAGAGAGAATCCAAGAAAATATGGCACAATGCCACCTGCACGGATTGATTACCATCAACCATCTCTAGGGTTTACAGAGAACGGTCCAAAAAAGAGAAAATATCAAGTGAGCAGCAGTTGTGTGGAGGAAAATGCCTTGTTGATGTCAGATGAGAAAGGACAAACTGGTTCGAGATGACAGAAAGGCAACAGTAACTCTAATAACCACTCGTTACAACCAAGGTATGCAGAATACCATCTCTGAACGCACAACACCTCGAACCTTGAAACAGATGGGCTACAGCAGCAGAAGACCACACCGGGTGCCACTTCTGTCAGCTAAGAACAGGAAACAGGCTACAATTAGCACAGGCTCACCAAAATTAGACAACAGAAGATTGGAAAAACTTTGCCTGGACTGATGAGTCTTGATTTCAGCTGCGACCTTCAGATGTTAGGGTCAGAATTTAAACAACATGAAAGCATGGATCCATCCTGCCTTGTATCAACGGTTTAGGCTGATGTTGGTGGTGTAATGGTGTGGAGGATATTTTCTTGGCACACTTTGGGCCCTTTAGTACCAATTGAGCATCGTTTAAACGCAACAGCCTACGTGAGTGTTGCTGCTGACCATGTCCATCCCTTTATGACCACAGTGGACCTATCTTCTGATGGCTACTTCCAGCAAGATAATGCGCCATGTTACAAAGCTCAAATCGTCTCAAACTGGTTTCTTGAACGTGACAATGAGTTCACTGTACTCCAAGGGCCTCCACAGTCACCAGATCTCAATCCAGTTGATCACCTTGGGGATGTGGTGGAACGGGAGATTTGCATCATGGATGTGCAGCCGACAATTCTGCAGCAACTGCGTGATGCTATCATGTCAATATGGACCAAAATCTGAGGAATGTTTCCAACACCTTTTTGAAAGTATGCCATGAAGAATTATGCAGTTCTGCAAAAAAAGGGGTCCAACCTGGCACCATATGACGTCCCTTTTCATCTTATGTTGACTGATTGAACTGCCTCAATATGAAATGTAGCAGCATTGGCTCCAGAGATACAAAGTTTCATCTTTACTGTGTACTCGTATATAGATGGGTTGACATGAAAGTTCTCCTGAGTCTTGATATTGTGCTCAGGATTTTATATTAATAATTCACAGTGACCTTTGTCCCCTGAAATAACTGTTCTGTGCAGAGCCAGGAACTCCAGCTGAGGCACATCTCTCCTCTCATAGCCATCATTTTTAGAGGGAGTAGCACAGAAGGATTAGCATATAACTTCATCCATCCATCGTCAACCACTTATCAATATAACTGATTAATAAAAACAGGATATTATGTGAGGTATCAAATGTTTAAAAGGGATATGTATGCCTTAAAAAAACAAAAGCAGTTTGTAAGTTAATACTAAATTCTGTTGAAGGCCTCAGGATTGTTTCACAGTACAATCGTTTTTGTACAGTTCAAACTGTAAAGGATAGTTTGCACATATTCAACCTAGGTGTCATCAATGGGATTTGAAGCTTAATCCTGCCAGTGTTAGTGGCTCAACCAGTGGATATGCCACATAGCTCTTAGAGGTTTGCTCGTTTCAGATGCTGTGTGAGAGAGAGGCCTCATTAGATTCTGATAGCTGTTGAAATGATTTTCCTATTCTGTTTGAAACTCTTATTTACTGGGGGGTTAAACAAACTAGTGGGGTGGCTGATCCACTGTGCCATTTTGAATCCATTACGGGCACTAAATTTCTCCCTCTGGAATATCCTCTGCAGCAGCCATCTGAGGTGGCATCGGATTGATTTTGGAGAGGACTAGAAAGACGAAGAGGGAAATTAGATTGCTGCAGTCTCATGTATTATCCATTCAAAGTCATCATGACTAATGTCACTAATGTCAGTCAGTGAGAGTAAATGAGCATCTCCTGTCACATGATAACTAGCGATCACAGCCTGGAGCCAGAGCTTCATTCCATTCCCGTCATGTCTCAGTCAGTAAGTAAGTAATTAAAACATTAATTGTTCTCTTCCTAGATTGTTTATCTAAATTCACTCCCCCACAAAAGCAACCTGGCAACTCAGTGTCACTTACTTCATGGATAAAAGCAGTGGTCATGAGCCTGCTGTCACCTGTCAGTCACTGTCAGTTCAGCCAGGATGTCAAAATAGGGATGACAGTTATAGCCAGGTGTACAGCAGTTGCAAGGGGTTGTCAGGGATAGTTTGAATCCCTAGAGGAGGCTGAGATGGCCAGGTATATTTACTGACTGTCACTATAGTTTCACCAAGTTCTTATTACACAAAAGACATGTTTAAAAAAAAACAACTGGACTTTCCATGTGCATGTGGCTTCTAGGTCAAACTAGTTAAATTTTAGCCACACCAGTCAGTCTGGTTAATTCCCTTTATCTCTTTTTTTTTAGATTGAATGAAACACCTTACAGTTTTCTCAGCTGAATTTACCTCTATTTAAGCAAATTTCTTATTGTTTGTTCGCTGGAGGTTTTGGTTTCCAGTTGACCTCTTTGGCAACAGTTTAGCAGCAGTGTATGAGATTTATAGTAAATGGGCTAAAAATCCAATACTAATAGTGTTGTCCATAAAGCATCTTTGCGAAAACACAGGTTGAGAGTCAGGACAAACCCAAAGACCCAACAGACCCAAACGCAACACAACAGGTTTTATTAAAGGGACAAGGGGCTGAGGGTGAGGAGGTGAAGGAGAGGTGGACGCCGGGGAATGCGGGCATGGAGGACCAAGAAGCAGTTGGGGCAGAGGAGGATGAGGGGAACAGAGGACCGAATGAGGAGAAGAGGCCTGGGAGAACTGACCAGAGGAATGGGAGTAGGAGTGTGGTGGCAGGCAAACTGGCGAGGAGCAAATGGGAGCCAGGGGACGCCTGAGGGGAGAAGTGACAGACAGGGTAAGACACAGGCAAAACTGAGAACAGGGAAAAAGAGATTCTGCAAAATTCTCTTGGGCTTGAGTAGAGCAGTAGCACCAGGTTAGGAGCAATGACGATCAAGCGGAGATTGTGTGGAGAACCGGGGTTGATATACTGGCGGAGATGGAGTTGATTGCTGGCAGGTGTGGCAGGCAGAGGAGGCTGCTGATGAGGTGCAGGTGTGGATCATCAGCTGGGCTCAGGAGCGGAGAGAGAGAGTGAGAACACAAGCAGGGGAGTGGAGGAGACACAGAAAGGCAGGCAAAACACAGGGGAAAACAGGAAAAATAAACAGTCAGCCAGGCTGCCACCACAACAGTTTATCCACCTATATGGCCATCTCTCTTTCTTGCTCCCTCTCAGTTCAATTCAATTCAAATTAGCTTTATTGCCATGAATGTGTAATAACAATATTGCCAAAGCATCATACATACTACATAAGAACAATCAACCCCATACATTTCATTAAACAAGTAATTAAAGCGTAAAGTAATCAAAGCGTATAAAAAAAATAAAAATAAAATAAATAAACAAAACAGTAAGTACCTCTCTATCACATAACTGTTATGTAAACACTTTCATCTGATTCATTGGAATAAGGTTAATGAGATGATAATGTGAATGAGTATGCAGAACACGATCTACACGCCTAGATTTCCTTTATCAAAATGTGCTAGACACAGTACAAATTTATGAGAATAAGATGGCATCTTTTCCCCAGAGACAATTAAAAAAATGAAGAATTGAACTGGCATGATGCTTCAAATTGATAAAATTATAGATTTATGTTAATCCAGAATTAGAGAACCTGTGCTCCATATGTGGATAATGTAAATGGATTTCTTAATAGGTCGTAATCCTCATTCCTCATATGATAAGTAGAGAATCTCCAAGTGTGAGATGAGTCATATGACTTTAAGATCTGTGGCGGAACCTTTAGTAAGCCAGGAAGGTAAATGTCAGATCACAGTCAGACACACATAATCTGGAAAAAGACCAAAACGCACACTTGAAGACACACACTGTTGCCCACTTTCAGTTTCAGATACACACACACACACACACACACACACACACACACACACACACACACACACACACACACACACACAAGATGCAGGCAGGTAAATCTTACTGTTTTCTGAAGCTGCTTGTTGCTGATGATGAACGACCACCCTGACATTACTCTCTTGCCTTTGAGAAAGAGAGAGAGATACTCTTTAAAGAATAATGGATCTACAAGAATAATAGTTTATTGATTACTAAATGGAGCAGATTCTTCCTGAAGGAACATTTTCTTTCGACACTGACTCATAGGTCTGTTAATTAATTAGAACACAGACACTGAAACAAAAAAAGAATAATTGGCTACACTGTTTTTTTAATGCTAATATTTAAACACATATCAAATGATAGTCTCACCACTTTAGCTTACACTGCACTGAGTTTAAATCTAGCTGTAGTTGACGCAGACCAGTGTTTTCATCACTCACACAATTTCACACACACAAATGCACATAGGCATTAATTAACTGCACAATACACCCAAACAGCTTCCGCAGGACTAACAAACCGGAGCTATGTTGCTTGATAGCAGGCATTGATCACCGATGGCATCTCTCTGTCTCTCTCACAAACACACACGTTTGTTCCTATATTCCTGTGGGGACATCTCATTAACATGATCCATTCCCTAGCCCTTAACTCTAACCTTAACCATCAGAACAACATGCCTAACCTTAACCTCACTGTAACCTGAACCCTAAAACCAAGTCTTAACCTTCAAAAAGCAGTCTCTACCCATGGGGACCTCAATTGTTGTCCCCGCAGTGAGTGTGCATTCAGGTTAAAGTCCCCCCTGGGATATAAAAACATGAAACACACACATTCACATCGACCAGCATTTGTCAGCCCAGTGTGGTCCAGAATACTGACCTCCAGTTTCCACCCTTGGAAGTCAACATCACTGTCAACTTGGAAACGGCATGCAGTGTCATGGCAACAGGGGTTCAGACACACTCCACACACACATAATCAAACGTGATGTGGATGGAGCGATTAAGAGAGGAACTTCTATACTTGAATAACTGATGACCTCCTCAATTGCACTTTAAAAAAATAATAATTTGACAGCAAACACGTCTGCAGGATGTTTCCTCCAATAATTAATTAGTCTATGTCTTGTGGTAACCAGAATGCCATTAGGTGATCTATATTGTATTCAAATAAATCATGTTTGTATTATTGTGTATCCTTCTCACTTTTTGCCATTTTAGCAGTGGTGTTTGAAGATGGCCAAATCGCTTGAGTACTGTGAATTCTGATGTTGATGGTCCCAAGAGGAGGAACCCGACTTACAACATAGGACTGGTGTTGCTTCTGCTACTATTATGATTTAATTGTAGCACCCTCTTTAAGTCGACAACTGCAATTTTGAACTCATCATGACCCTTTGCTTTTTCACTCCTATCAAATGCAAATATTTATTCTATATATTATTATAGCTATTAAATGAATGGCCTTGCCACCATTAGAGCAGCCATTATAATGCCAGAAATGATGACACCAGCTATGGCTATTGTGAGAATCTCATCAGTGGCCGGAGCCAGTCCACGTACTTGGCAGTAGATAACCCAAACGAATCCCTGTTGAGTTGTTGACCAATGCACAGACAGGGAGAGGAAAGCGAGACACAAACACATAATCCATAATGCATTGCTGCCTGTGTGCTGTGAAGACTGAATCATCTTTCCACAGCAACAGAAAAAGCTGTGGATATTTTGCAGGAGGCGACAGCGCGCTGTGATCATTCACCAAACAGCTTGTGTCTTTACACCTGTCAGAGCAGACAGTGGCCCTGTGTGTAAACATGCGTTTTGTTGAGATGATGTTGCTTTTAGTTTTGCTTCTTTTTACATTTGCATTGCATCAGTCAGTTTCAGCATCAACAAAAAAAAGATGTGTGTGATGGTGACTTGTGTCTCTGTGCTTGTTTGTTATATAAGACTCAATAAGAGTGTTTATTTCCAGCAGCATTCATCCAGTCATTGCTGTTTTTTTGTCAGAAACCACACAGACTGGTGCTACAATCAACATGTTGTGATTCCACAAACCAAACTCCAATTCTCCCACAAACATGCGCACACACACACACACACACACACACACACACACACACACACAGGCTTATGAATATCCCGGAAGCACAGAGGCAGAGAGGATATTGTAACAAGCATCCTAAAAAATGTTGGTCCAACAAGTGAGACAAGGCTCCCGCCTGAATTGAAGAGGATTATCTCTCTTAATTTATGCTAATTAATGTGCAAAGAGTAATGAGACCAGCATGTTATTGTGTGACTCAAGCCTGTCTCACACACACTCACACTCACAAACCCACAACTGTGTGTTATCGCTCCATTGAAGCCTGTTGCTTGTGGAACTACCCTAATTCTTTTTCACAAGATGCACACACACAAACACACACCCACACATTCAGAACTATGCCATTGTGTACTTCATGGGAATCTTGTAGTCCAACCACTGCCAGATCTCACCACCATTCCAAATACACATGCTGATTCCTCTGTGGGACAGTCCTGGCTTGGTTGGATCCACATTCTTGTTTTGTTTCACCTCTTTATACAAAATCCAAAACACTCCTTAAAGCTTTTTGAGGTACTCAAATGAAACCTTTTGTGAAAGTCACCATTATATTCCAAGAGAGAGACTTGTTGTCTGTCTTTATGATACACACCAGTACGATTAGACATTTGAAGTAACCTGACTATGTTTTCTTAAATTTCATGTCACTGCTGTTGCATCTACCTGTAGGGATTCCATATATTATTTGTCATCCTTATTTCTTATCAAGTGCTTCAGATCAGATATATTGTGCAAATACAACTAAACTATCCCCTGTATCCCCTGCCAGCCCCTGTATGCTGAATCATTGCATGATCAACTCTCAACCATAAGCTGTTAAACACTATAATACTACTGTGTGGTATAGAAATATTGTATTGTCATTACAGTGACACTGTAAAAGATAATAAGGTGACAAAACTCCCAAGCACAGATACACTTTGCCTTGATCATTTTTGACAAGTTCACTCTAAACTTGTCGTTTAGTTCCACAGATTTTATAAAAATATTATAGGACTACCATACTGGTACCCTTGGAGTTTAAAGCATCAAACCCACAGCTGCATGCTGCAGACACACTCCATGTCCCTGTAGTAAGATCTGAAGTAGCTTCTATTATAGGAGCAAGACAGTGATTTCATTTAAGGGCAGTGGGCGGCGCGCACACAGCCCGTCTCTTAATGCGATATACGTGAGTCCGTTATCCAACCAGCCAGCCAGCGAGCCAAACCCAGCCGAACCACACCGAGCCAAGCCGATCCGAGCATTTAGCCCTGCCACTCCACACAGAGGCAGCAGAGGAGGAACGATGACCTGGTAGCGCATCTTTACGCACCCGACCCGCCGTCAGTCCCTTATAAACACACATTCTGCCTCTCCGGCTTTAATTCTCACGCCGAGACCATGGAGACGGCAGTTACCAGGACCAATATTTTCATCTCACTGCTGCTCCTTTTCAGCCAAATAGGTAAGAAATTGGAAATAATAAAAAATCCTGATTTAATTGAGTGCGGAGGCTGACGTGACGTTTTGAACGCTGTCAAACACTGAGATGTGTTATTCCCTCGGATATTTCCTGCACACTTCAGTGTGTGTTTCAGAATCTGCTATCAGCGGCAAAGAATGATCAGTGTTACATTTAGAAATGGCATTTGTTAACATGAATGTCCGACATGGAAACGCGTGCGTCCTCTGCAGTGCACGCAGGGAGTATTCTTTTCATGCTTTTAACAGGTTGAGCCGTTCTTTCAAACACGATGAAGTATGAACGAAATGTGATGTGCTGCGTCTGTCGCGCATACTGGAATTGAAGAAGGTGTTCAAACTGCTCCCTCAGCGTCTGTTGAACTTATTTAATAGAGACGTTTAATCAAATCAAATTTGAGTGACACACTGTGGTTTCATTTCGAAACTTGGCTTTTGTTCCGTAATAAAATCCACAGGCTATAAGAACACGTTCCAAAAGTAAATGTTTTGTGTTGTGAATTTTATGATCATATTGAGCTTAAATTGTTGCTCTATTATTCCTATATGCCTGCTATATATTTCCGTTCAAATTTAGGTTTGTATTTTTGTTTTTGTATCGTCTTAATTTTACCTACTCTCCTTGTGTCCCCGTGGCATCAGTACATCACATGTATAAAACTCTCTTGTGCCATGTCGGCTGCTTTCCACTATGTCAGTGCTTTGGCTGTAGGTTTACAGAGCAAAAAGCAGAAACTGAAATGTTTTTTTCAAAGTGTAATCACTCAAGATAGGAGTCAGTAAAGAAATCTGAGAGTAGGACTTGGTGCTGATTTCAGTAACAGGTGCAGAAGTAAGAGTGAAAAAAACACGTTTTCTAATTTCCAAAGAGTAAAAACAGAAAACACAAATGAACTTAGTCTCCAGTCACTTAAAAGATGAACTGTCACTTCAAGTTTCATCAAAACCAGACTGGTAGCCCAGCAGTTATTTACAGTTTTTAAACATTTCCAACACTGATTATCACTTCCCAATCAGGTCAATCAGTGTAATGTTTTAACACAACAATCATTGCTTCAGTTTTAGAGAGAAAAAAAATAAAATTTTACTACTCCAATGTAGAGCAATATGTTTGAAGGTTTCTGTCCATGGGACTTTTGGTGATGTATTAATTAAAGCTAGCTATGTATATCATCATTTCTACATCCATTTGGACCTCGTGTCATGCTCTTGATAAAAAACATGCCAGAACACATGCCGTCATCTAATTAACATGACATGACATGACATGAAACCTGAGACTAGAATAAAATCAGAGCAGAGCTTGACCAATAAATCGGCAGAGATGATATATTGGCCGATATTAGCTTATTACAGGTATATCTGTGGATACATCTGCCAGTGAGTAACAAGAAATTGCAGTAGCCTGCAGAAATACCAAAGATATGTTTGAGGTGTTAGTCACTTAGTTTGTCCTGTAGATTTTTCCAGCCATAAAAGGTCCCACTCAGTATATTGTACATTTTGGTTGTAATTCTTTAAACAACAAATTTAAGGGATCCACATCAAAAATATTTGTTCCGTGTTTACCTTTAAGAATAATGGCCAACATGTTGACAGTGTAGTTTGTATACTCTCCAATATTGATGTTGATATTGGCCTCAGAAATCAAAACTAGTTAGATGTAATTTAAACCTGTGTATTGTCAGCTGGAATGTTTGTCCAGCCAGAAGGACAAAGCCTTTATCACTAAAGCTGAAAATTAAAACAAAAAAGTTCCCAAATTTGCCAAGGACCCCATTGAGCCCTCTGAAGGATACCTGTTAGGCTGCATTCACCCATCTACAGTAAAATCGATTAGCACTCTAAAATGTTTAACATTGATTCTTGACAAGGTTATCTTTTTGTATTTATTCCATCATTTGCTTCTTCTAAGAAAGTGCAGGAAGTGAATCTCATGACATTCAACTCAGGAAGTCGAGATCAGTGGTTTCCAAATGTTTTCATGTCCTAAACACAAGCCTGTGTGTTCCCATTTGATGAGATTGGGTGGGATCAGATTAAGTCAGATGAGCCCGTGAGACGTTTTTTTTCATTTAATTTAACCTGGTGCAGAAATAGACAAATGGTGATAGATGGGATGAGTCATTAGTTAAACCTCCCCTCACTTTTGATTGGTTGTTTCTAATCATAGCAGCGTTTTTGCTACTACTCTTCTTTCATAAAATTAAGATCACATTTCCCATAAATGCCAGTGGCCTTTAAGTCCTTACTCCACCTGCTGTCACTGGAGTTCTTTAAATAGCAGGAGATTGTTTTAATCAAGTGCTGGCTGAGATCATTTATCTGGTAGATTTTTAAAGTCAAAGTTTGTGTATGCTCTGAAGTTAGAGCAGTGGAATCAGTTTCAGCAGATGTTTAAGCTTGTTGATTCACTGTGCTGTGGCTGCAAATTTACATGTAGTGGTTCATTTCCTTTCAAATGTTTGTGTTTAGATGCATGGAGAGAGAAAAGAATGTTTCCTTTAGGGGAAGGAAATAGAGCATCCTCCAGCCATCTGTCCCACAATATGCCTGGACACCACTCAGAATCACACACACACACACACACACAAACACACACACATCTTCTCGCTCGCACTCTTCCATACAAACGAATGCACGTATACAAGTCGCTGCGATGTTGCAGGTGCTCTCATTTTGGCCTTGTTTGTCAGCGGTTCCGAGCAGTTCTGCCAGTGAACACAATTTTCTAGCTGGAGTCCTTCACCGTGCCATACGCCTTTTAACAGCATGGTTGCCAGTATACTGTACATCATACATCTGACTTCTCAGTGGTAATCACACCTTCTCCCTGTGGTTCCATATGTGCAGTTCAGCAGGAAAGGAATTTGAGCATGTGTTCTTTTTTTGATGCATCCACTATTGTACTGTCATTGAATATATATATGTGGATACAAGTGTTGGAAGCCCTGTAACTTTAAGTTGTAGTGTCCTGTGAGTCCTACTGGTTAGAGATTTCAAACTGATCTGATTCAGCTCAGCATTATGATTGTATCTGTGCTTCTTCTCTCATAGCTCTTCTCTCCAGACCTCATTTTGTTCCGTTCAGCTTTCCAAACACAAAGAACTGCATCTGTCTAGCACTTGCTTGCATTTTGTGGTTGCTTGCTGTAGATGGCTGGAGAGTTTTACTCTAACAGACTGCATTTCAGTTCTCTTATTAGATGACTCACTCATAAACATTGATATACTTTACTAAAAGACTAGACGGTCTGCCGAATAATTTGGCCGATATCTTTCATTTTGAGATAATCGGCATCGGCTGATACCTGCGCTCACCAGGCTGATATACAAAACATTTCTGTGGACACATCTGCAAGCTGCCTTGTCAGTGTGGCTGCTCTGGAACGATGTTAGCGCTCCCCTTGTGAGTTTTAGGATGGTGCTGAAAAAGTTAGTTTAGGGCCCTAAATGTCCTCATTCCCTATCGTCTTTTCTAAATGTTAATGCATTCATCCCATGCTAAATGACAGCTGATCTAATCTAAACCCATCACTTACTAGCGTAAAATGTGTATTATGCTGTAGAGAATAATGCAGTTGAATGAGGTCCCTTCTGACAAACTGTATTGACGACATTGTTTAATGGATTGGTGCCCTTGGTATACAGGACGCAGAGTCTCAAACTAATGCTTTACAGTTCATTTCCTCATCATCAACAAACAGCTCAGGGACCGCAGACACACAGTGAAAACTATAAAGAGATGTACAGAAGTAAGTGTCACACAATAAGATTAACAATACATACAAGAGTTGACAATGAGAGTGAACTAAATACAACAATTTTTCGCCACATAACTTTCCCCGCACAGATAAACATACAATACAATAGAATTCAAAGAAAGTACAAATCCATTGCAACTCCAAAGTCAATTTAGCACAGCACACTGATAACACAAACAATCAGATCAAATATTTTTTCCATTCAAACAACATGTACAACTCAACCCTCACAGCACCTGTAGACTACTCCCACACTCCCACACTTTCATCTTTGGTCTTGATCTCGTCTCTGGACATGTTGCCGTTTCTTCAAACTCTTGGCATGTTTCCGCTTTCCAATCACAATGCTGCTGATGCAATTTACAACAGGTGGTAAGCGGGTTTATTTAATTTAATTAATTATTTTATGAATAAAATATGCCTGACAAATAGTGCTAGGAACTGATTCATGATTGGCTAGATCTGTCATGTGATCTATAGATTTAAGACAAAGAGAATGTGAGAAATATAAATACTCACACATTAAACACTATTACTCCTCACTGATGGTAAGGTAGAGGCTTTTTAACAGTCAGTACATACAAATTATAAATAAAATCCTCCAGTGACAAAACAAAAACCCCATCATCAGTAAATAGCACAGGTCCCCTTTATACACAACCTTACACTATGTCATAGTCAATGTGTTTTGGTGATTGTGAATTCAGTGATCATATGTTCTCCTCGTGAGATACCATCTGGCCACCCAGTGCACTCTGAGCATTTGAACCAGAGGGGTTGCATCCGGTGGCACAATACGATGTCTGATGGTGTAATAGTAATTGGCTACAAAATACTGGCGCACACATTCTGGCACACACGGCATACTGAATGTGTAAATCCATAAATAATATGTTGAGAGGAGTGATGACAGAGAGTCAGATACATAGTAAATTACAGTAGTGATGACACTGTCTCAGAAGAGTTACAGTAATTGATGGTATACCTTTTAAATATAAACAAACTTACGTACTGCTAATCTTAACTACAGTTTTTCTGAGTATGATACAAAAAGCTGCTGACCCAAATTTCAAATTAACCCCAATAAGTTAATTATTTATTAAGTAGCATTAGTGGTGGATCCAGTAGATTTGTAGAGTGAATAGAGCAAGCCTCTACACTGCAGTTAATTTTCACAGTTCTCAAACTGAACTGGAAACTGGGCATGCACCGATCCGAC